TCCTCCTCCTCCTCCTCATACTACTCCTGCTCCTGTTCCTGTTCCTGCTCCTGCACTCTCCCACATTCTCCCCCCTGAATTGCCATCGTAACAGCCAGCATGTTATCCACCGTGAAGGCATTGACTCTGATGATGTGTAGACTTCTGCATCTGGGCAAATGTGTTGCTTCTAATGCTGCTCGCCACCACGCATGAGTAGTCTGTCTCTCTAGTATCGCCTCAGCTGACAGCGGACATTGTCATGTATGGCATTACTTGGAGACGTAGTAGTGTTACACAAACACCAATTTCATATTGCCATCTGTCGGCATTTGAGGCAGTCGGCCAGTCTGTGTGTCTGCCAGTATGTCTGTCAGTCTATGTGTCTGTGTGCGTTTGTGTGAAGATGCTTACGGTTGAGCTTTTTGCATTGCAGCATATGAGACAGAGAGTGGATCGTCCTTGGCAGGCGAGAAGATGACTGGCAGGCCAGGCCAGTGCTTTTGCTCGTATTTTACCTGAGATGTGCAGAGCAGCTGTAGCATGCCTTCGAACTCCACCTCCTCCTCCTCATCCTCCTCCTCCTCGTCCTCACCCTCCTCATCCTCCTTCTCTTCTTCCTCCTCCTCCTCATACTACTCCTGCTCCTGTTCCTGTTCCTGCTCCTGCACTCTCCCACATTCTCCCCTCTGAATTGCCATCGTAACAGCCAGCATTTTATCCACCGTGAAGGCATTGACTCTGATGATGTGTAGACTTCTGCCTCTGGGCAAATGTGTTGCTTCTAATACGGCTCGCCATCACGCATGAGTAGTCTGTCTCTCTAATATCGCCTCAGCCGACAGCGGACATTGTCATGTATGGCATTACTTGGAGACGTAGTAGTGTTACACGAACACAAATTTCATATTGCCATCTGTCGGCATTGGAGGCAGTCGGCCAGTCTGTGTGTCTGCCAGTATGTCTGTCAGTCTATGTGTCTGTGTGCGTTTGTGTGAAGATGCTTACGGTTGAGCTTTTTGCATTGCAGCATATGAGACAGAGAGTGGATCGTCCTTGGCAGGCGAGAAGATGACTGGCAGGCCAGGCAAGTGCTTTTGCTCCTATTTGACCTGAGATGTGCAGAGCAGCTGTAGCATGCCTTCGACCTCCCCCTCCTCCTCCTCCTCCTAGTCCTCCTCCTCCTCCTCCTCTTCCTCCTCCTCCTCTTCCTCCTCCTCCTGCTCCTGCTCCTGCTCCTGCACTGCCCCACATTCTCCCCTCTGAATTGCCATCGTAACAGCCAGCATTTTATCCACCGTGAAGGCATTGACTCTGATGATGTGTAGACTTCTGCCTCTGGGCAAATGTGTTGCTGCTATTGATGCTCGCCACCACGCATGTGTAGTCTGTCTCTCTATTTTCGCCTCAGCCGACACCGGACATTGTCATGTATGGCATTACTTGGAGACGCAGTAGTGTTACACAAACACCAATTTCATATTGCCATCTGTCGGCATTGGAGGCAGTCGGCCAGTCTGTGTGTCTGCCAGTATGTCCGTCAGTCTATGTGTCTGTGTGCGTTTGTGTGAAGATGCTTACGGTTGAGCTTTTTGCATTGCAGCATATGAGACAGAGAGTGGATCGTCCTTGGCAGGCGAGAAGATGACTGGCAGGCCAGGCAAGTGCTTTTGCTCCTATTTGACCTCAGATGTGCAGAGCAGCTGTAGCATGCCGTCCTTCTCCCCCTCCTCCTCCTCCTCCTCCTCCTCCTCC